AGCAGCTGAGGGTTTTTCCTGGTCAGGTAATTAGTATATTCTTTACTATATTATGCCTGGGTGAGTCAGAGTGTTTCCTGTTTTATACTTACAGATTTCTCAGCTGCATAGTGACCAGTAGATGGCAGAAAAACCAATGTGTAAGGAACACTATATTGTGCTTTCCAAAAGGAAATCTGTATAGAGTGCCCCGTCCTCTGCCAAAGACTCATTCATTTCGTTTGAAAGGCACTCACAAAAGAGAAAGACACACACACAGATTAAGGGAGAAAAATATCTTTCATCAGCAAGGTAATTCCTTAAATGACCACAATGACTGGGTCTGGGCTAGGCCGAAGCTGGGGCCAGGAGTTTCATCTGGATCTCCCAGATGGCAGGGACCCAAATACTTAGTTCATCTTCTACTGCCTTCCCTGGTACACCATCAAGGAGCTGGATCAGAATTGGAGCATCCATGACTCAGATCAGCATCTGTGTGGGATGCTGGCTCTGCAGGTGGTAGCTTTCACCCACGGCATTACCATGCTAGTCCCAAGGACTGTTGTTTGCTTCCAAATTTCTTTGGAAAACAAAATTCAAATTAAAAGAGGTATGACTTGATAACAGGCACTTTTTTTTTTTTCATAGAATCATTGCTACAATGTGTGCCAGAACCTGACCTTCACCTTTGAAATCTTATATTACTATATTGCCATGCCACGGAGCTCTATGACTTATTCATCTTGTATAACTGAAATTTTGTTGCTTTGACAAATTTCCACTGCTTTACCTTTTCGTTAGTGCAGGAAATTGCTGTTCCACTCTGCTTCTGGGAGTTTTGAGCATTTCACATTCATCATATATGTGGTGTGTGTCCTGTGTCCTGGCTTGTGTGTTCTCCTGCAGATGGCAGAATTTCCTTCAATTTTTAAGATTGGAGAATATTCCACAGAATGCATGTTCCACATTAAAAACTCTATCCCCCCATTTGTGGATATTTGAATGGCTTCTTTGTCTTAACTGCTGTAAATAATGCTGTAGTGAATATGGGATTGCCAGCATGTATTCAATATCCTGATTTTAACTTTTTAAAAAATATATATACCTAGGAATGAGATCATGAGATCATGAGATCATATAACAGTTTTGTTTTTAAGATTTTGAGAAACCCCCCCCTGGGCTGTAGGCTACTACCTAGGTTCCGTTGTACCTAGGCAAGTATTACACTGCTGAGAGAAAGGCAGCTGATAGCTGGCAGGCATGCTGGACTTTGTTAATGCCAACTTTGTATTAACTATACCAGTATGCCAGCATAGTTGCTTCTTCTTTTTTTTTTAAAGGTATGTGGATAAGGTGGGGAACTCCAGCCTGGGACATACCACTCTGGACCCCAGGCAAGGGAGAGGAAGCTGCAGATTGCCTGGGGAAGGAGGTCTGGAGATGTGTTGCAGTGGGAATGGCTGAGACATGTTTGATAGGGAAGGAATGGCTTCTGGAGTCTTCCACAGACCTGGCTACTGCACTCACAGTTAGCCAAGGGAGCTGAGTAGGAGTGGTTTAGAGGAGGGAAAATGGAGTTCATGTCTGGGTCAGGCCAAGGCACCCACCCACATGGGAGACTGGGCTGGGCCTAATAGCATCACCTACCTGGTGTACCTATTGGTGCACACAAAAGCTGGAGGCCATGCCTGACTGGGCTGGGTCACAGTACCCACATACAAGTATCGGTGCAGAGGGTGGGCCACATCGAGTTGGGTCACAGCACCCACCAGAATGTGAGAGAACCAGATCTGGGGTAGATTCTGTAGGGGACTTGTGGGCTTGCCTCTGTATCACTGTAGCACCCATTGGTTTGCTTGGAGAGTTGGGGGGTGGTGATGGCCAATCTGGACCACAGAACTCATCTGACAGGAACCCATCTAACACTCACAGGAGCCAGGCACAAGTGAGAGACAGAATAAGGTACAGACCAAACCTGCTTGGACCATAACAATTTCCAGTTCAAAAGATGGCTGGGGGTGGCTCAGGCTGGGCTAGGCTGCTGCATCTGCCATTGAGAGTTGGCTTTGGAGCAGGTCTCGATGAGCCAGGCTGTACCACCTACTGGTGAATGCTGAGACTGGGGGCCGGCCATCTCAGACTGGTCCACTGTACCGCTGGCATGTGCAAGACCAGGGCTGGGATCAGGGCTGGCAGGGGAACTTTAAGGCCCTCTTGCAGGGCTGCAGCTTCCATTGGTGAACATGAGAGGTCAGGATGTGGGAGCAGATCAATCTGCGGGTGAACTGAGCTGCTGTACCCGCTGGCACACAGGAGAGCCAGAATGGGTATGGACTAGCTGGGCTAGGCTGCAACATCAGTGCACAAGTGCTGGGACTGTATGTGAGTCATGTCAGGCTAGACTGCAGTGCCCCCTGGCAGGCTCAAGATCCAGGACTGAGAACATGCCTGCCAGGGGAACAGTGAACAGTTTCCTGGTAGGCTATACCTATTGCAGGTGAGCACAAGAACCAGGTCTGGGGGTGGGCCAGGCTGGACAAGCTGGCGGCACCTGTCTGCATACACAAGAGCCAGGTTTGGGGTGGGTTGGGCTGAGATAAGTCACAGCACACACGTGTGTGCATGAGAACCACATGGGATATGGGCCGGGCCAGGTTAGGCTGCAGCAGAGGTATGCAAAAATGGGCTGGGGGTCAGCTTGGTAGAGATTTTTGGGGGTCACCCTGACTAGGCTGCAGCACTTGCTGGTATGCACAAGGACGGGGTCTGTGGCAGGCTGGGTAGGCTCAACCGTAGGACTCAGTTTGTATGAGAGATGGGGCTGGGGTGGAACTGACCAGGCAGCTGCATCCACTGTTGTATTCATTGGCTGGTGTAGGTGACAGACTACATCTGACTCTGTACTAGCTGGCACACACAGAGTCAAGTTGGAGCTCATCACAGGCAATGTTTGTTGGGGGACTCTCCAACTAGACTGCAGGAGCAAATCTTGGTGACAGAAAAAGTCACAGAATGTGTGGTCCAACCATGGGATGCACGTGTCAGGACTGGGCCTCCTCAGCTGCTGATGCCTATGTAGTGGACAGCATGCCCAGATGCACACAGAAGACATGACAGTCAGCTCATCTAGGCTGGCAAGGGACACCAGTGTCCTCATCAGAGGATGGAATGCAGAACAGGTTAGACAGCTCTCCCAGCCAAGCACTGCAGCATGTTGTTCTTGGGTCTGTGGATGCACTAAGGTGGATTTTGTCATCCAGAAGATCTTAGAAAGATTCTCTCAACCCTGGAGAAATGAAACCACTGCTCAGAACTATCAAAGCCACTCAAGTAACATCGTCGGAACACTCTTCTCCACATCAGGATTTCTAAGGTGTCATCAAACGACCACCCCCATCTCCAGGTACTGATACAGTTTGACAGTAAGGAATAGCCCCCTTCCCCTGCTCTTTTGTGGACATAGGAGAACAAACAAACAAACAAACTCAAAATTCATGTCCCACCCACCTTCCTCAGTATCTGACCCTAACTGGAGGCCCACATGGTATGCCTCCCTCTCAATTGTGTAATCAATAGTAAAAATAAAATCAATTAAATAAAAAAGTAAGTTATCCATAAGAATATAGACTTTGATGAGAATGACAAAAATTTTAAAGATAACCAGAAACCTATCCATAGTCATATTTGAAAGATGGAAAACACAGTGACAAAAATACGTGCTCAGAACTTCCCAGGAATCCAGGAACTTCTTCCAGGTCTCCCACACGGGTGCAGGGTCCCAAAGCCTTGGGCCGTCCTCGACTGCTTTCCCAGGCCACAAGCAGGGAGCTGGATGGGAAGTGGAGCTGCTGGGACTAGAACCGGTGCCCATATGGGATCCCGGGCATGTTCAATGTGCTATGGCCCTTATGTAAACAGTTACATTTAATCCTTGTGACATTCTTACAAGACATAATTATGATCATCTTAAAGTGTCAGACTTTAAGCATTTAAGTGTTAACATTTCTTAAATTGCACAGTAAAAAATGATGTGAGAATCTCTAGGTTGAAGGAACAGTCAAGAAAAGGAGCCACGGTGATATACATTAGAATAAAATGAGTGGCCTAACTAGAGCTGAGGGTTTATATTAAGAAGTGGTAGGAAAAGCTAGTTTTAGTGGTAACATATTATGGAATATGTTGAATGCTAGGCAAAATGATTTAAATATATTAACTTCAAGGAGCAGAGAGGAATATGGGTTAAAATGGTAGTGAAGTTGGAAAAAACCATTATTTTTTTTTAAAGATTTATTTATTTATATTAGAACGGAAGATTTACAGGGAGAAGGAGAGACAAAGATCTTCTATCTGCTGGTTCTCTCCTCTAATGATCACAATAGCCAGAGATGAGCCAATCCAAAGTCAGGAGCCAGGAGCTTCTTCCAGGTCTCCCATGCTGGTGCAGAGTCCCTAGGCTTTGGGCCATCCTCTGCCACATCATGGAGCTGGATGGCAAGTGGAGTGGCCATGACACGAACCGGTGCCCATATGGAATGCTGATACTTGCAGGCAGAGGATTAGCCAATTGAGCTATAGTGTTGTCTCAGAAATTCCATCATTTTTACACATTTCTGATCACTTCAATTTATAATAATTGCATATGTATAGTAAAAAATTGAGGTAAAATATTAAAAACACAATCTGAGGACATACAATATGCAGAATATTGCATGTTGACACCTATTATGCAAAGGCTACCAGGAACCCAACTGCAGTTGAATAAAGCAGGGTTTGTTGTCTTGTTGCAACAATGGAGGATATTGTAATGATGGGTCATTTCAGCAGGAGGGAATCTCATATAGTAATGACAGCTTTTTATCACAATCAGGATAGCTTTAAGAAAACTTCACTGGGTGTTGAAGACAAGTGCAAGAGTTAAGGAGTCAATACGAAAAAATGCATTCGGTCTATACATATTTTCTGTTAAAATTTGTGTAACTACTTAATAATTCGGACTGAGACATGAAGATCATTGAAAGAACTAGAATCTGGAAGTAAGGCATACATTTGGCTCATGATTTTTGACAAGCTCTCATTCCAAACAGGACGTTTCTCAGGGCAACTTTCATGTCTTTATTACGAAGACTATAGATCAGGGGGTTAAAAAGAGGAGTCATTACTGAATACACCAGTGTGAGAACCTTCTGCATCAAAGTTGGGATGCCATACGTAGGACTCACATACATCACCATGACTGTTCCATAGAAAAGACACACCACAACTAAGTGACAACCACAGGTAGAAAAGGCCTTTCGCCGGCCAGCTGCGGAAGGTACGCGAAAAACAGCTCTGAGCAAGAGGACGTAGGAACGCAGAATGTACAGAACAGTGCAAAAGAGGACAAGGGAGCTCTGTGTGTAGAAAACAGATTCAGTAATTGGAGCTGGAGCGCAAGACAGAGCCATCAGTGGATCCATGTCACACAGGAAGTGATCAATGACATTCGGACCACAGAAGGGGAGTTGGGAGATAAAGAAAATGGGAATTGGGTACCCAAGGAATCCAATGAGCCAGCAGAAAGACACCAGCAGACCACAGAGCCTCCCGGTCATAATGGTGGGGTAGTGCAGTGGGCGGCAGATGGCCAGGTATCGATCATAAGCCATTACTGCTAAGAAGAGACATTCAGTTGTGCCCAGTGAAAAGAAGAAATAGAACTGGAGGAAGCACCTGGAAAATGAGATGGCCTTGGTCTCAGAGAGGATGTTGGCTAGCATGTTGGGGACCGTGGAGGAAACATACCAGATCTCCAGGAAGGCAAAATTTCCCAGCAGAAAGTACATAGGAGTATGCAGGCGTGCGTCCCACCTCACTGCACAGATGATAGCTCCATTTCCCAGCAGTGTCAGGACGTAAATCACCACAAGCAATGAGAAGAGGAAAATCTGTGTCTTCCAGTCACCAGGGAATCCCAGGAGAACAAACTCGGTCACAAGGTGTGTTGCTGACCTGTTCACGGGTCTTAAATTAATGAGTGAGAGAGAGTGAGTATAACCCAGATTTTTTTTCACTCTCTGCATATCTCAAGAATCTCATTGTGAAGGGAACTTGTGTTATATGGAAGAAAAGTGAGATGTTCTCAGACCATGTGGGAATAAATCCTACCAACTCTTGAGCAGATTATGATTCTAAATTGCAATATTGTTTTGGTAGTATGCAGTGCAATTGGAATTTTCTATACCGAGTATAGACTGATTAATTTGCTTTGTCCAAAAGAAAACATTTTCAGTTTTTTAGATGTTTTGCAGAGTTGGTAATAGATTGTTGTGCATCACATTGTTCATTTTTTAAAAAAAGACGTGTAAATGGTCTCTAAAAGTTCTCGAAAAACACATACTACAAAATAACTCTTTGTGAATTCTTATTTTGCACAAAGATAAGTTAATTTTTAACTTTCATTTATAATCTTTCTATTTTTAAATGCATATTTTATGATGTCCTGTATCTTGAAGACAGCTGGTGTGAGGTTTGATTAAAACTTTGACAACACACAGTAAGTCAGGTGCTCTGCCACATGGTGGAAAAGATGAAATCAGGTTACTAGCCTTTCAGAGTAGCTCAACTAACTGAATTGTCAAATATAAATATCCCTAAGATATGGGCCTGTTGCTAATGCTTACTGTTTTCTTTAAGGATTTTCTTTATAAATCTCAGTGATCACATCTGAGTGAAGCATAAGCAATCCTCAATACATCAAACACCTTCAAAGAACAGGCAGGAATATTATTTTTAAACTATCTCTAATTGTGCTTATTTTTGTATTTTATGACGATATACAAAAGTAACTATCTCACTTTTATTCCTTTAATTTTTAAAATAACAGTTTTAATGAGATAAAAGATCCTATAAAGTTCACCTGTTAAAATACATACAATTTAGTAGTATTGGACATATTTTTAGTGTATAGCACAGCCCTTATCACTTACTTCCAAAAAAGGCACTAGGTAAAATTAAGTTTATTTTCAATTCCTTGTTATCTGTGCTAGTAAAATCTTAAATGTCGGTGCTGCAGGCAGAGGACTAATTTGCTATGCCACCATGCCAGGCCTTTGATGTTGATTATACAAGAGACTTAGGGAGGGGACATGATTTTTCATCAAATGCCTGTGTACTGTATTCACTAACATATGTGACTTTTATGCTAATGCAAAGTACTTCAAATAGTCTATGAGAAATGGATTGTAATGATAAGTTCAGGAGCTGGAGTTTTGGTGTAGCTGGTGAGGCTGCCACCTGTGATGCCAGCATCCCAGCCTGCCCATTGTGGCTATCTGGGGAGTGAACCACCAGATGGAAAATATCTTCCTCTGTAATCTGATTTAAAAATATTTAAAAAGGTCAACTTATTTGCATGCAAAAATCTGAAATTCATGCATAGCTTTTTCATAATATGCATTTTCACAAAGTTTTTGAAGACATCTTGCATATGTGGGTTTTAAAAGATTTTTTTTTAAATGCCAAAATAAATTTATGTTTCAATTACATTGTACCTGGACTTTTGGAATTATCTCTGTCCTATGTTGTCTCCTCTGAGCCTTCCCAGAGATACAGTGACTCACTGGATTTCGAAGATAAAAGATACTCTCTTAACATACACAGACATGGTAGTCACCAGGACCTTCAGGACTTGTCTCTCAGGTTGGTGGTCTGCTAGCTCAGCCTGGAGGGAGTGATGGGAACAGGGGAGTTGAACATGTCCTTGGTACCGAGCAGCTCCTCCCTGGTGCTGATGAGGTAGACTCCGGGCCAGTGCTTGGATGGGGTTTAATGCACTTCATCACTTCACCAGTCCCCAGAGACTTGTTTCCTAGCAGTTGGCTTGGACATTTAACGTGTAAATTGATGATGAATCTGTTTCCTCTTGGGGATCCTGTAAAACTCTATCTCCCCCGAAGTAGGATTATTGGCTTCCCTGAGGTTGCCCTGGAGTGCATTTTCTTGTCATCCCTCAGGACTCAACCAGAATCTACTGTATTAGTTTCCAAATATATTAACTCTGGAATGCTGGTTAGTGTTAAAGAAACAGAGAAGTGGGAACTCTGTGGGGTGTGTGCGTGAGAGAGAGAGAGAGAGAGAAAGAGAGAGAGAGATTTCAGGAGATTTCACGCTGCAGGGCTTGTGTTCTATTAAGGAATCACTCTCTGTAGGGATGGGTGGATGAGATGAATGATAGTTTTATTGATGTCTTTAATTCTGAAATGTAAAGATATTTGTAAACAAATCTTTCTCTAGCTTAAACGAAATGCATCAACATGGAGAAAATGAAGTGCATTTTGTTGATTATTTAAATTAAAAATTAAAGCAATTAGGGCCCAGTGTGATGGCTCAATGGCTAAATCCTCCTCTTGCAAGTGCCAGGATTCCATATGGGTACCAGTTCATGTCCTGGTTGCTCCACTTCTCATCCAGTTCCCTACTTATGGCCTGGGAAAGCAATAGAGGATGACTTAAAGCGTTTGGACTGTGCACCCATGTGGGAGACACAAAACAAGATCCTGGCCTCAGAGTAGCTCAGCTCTGGCCATTGTTGCCATTTGGGAAGTAAACCAGCGGATGGAAGGTCTTTCTCTCTGAGACTCCTTTTCTCTGTAAATGCTGATCTACTTTTCCAATAAAAACAAATAAATCTTAAAAAAGGAATTATAGCAATGAAACTTTCTTGGTGTCTTTCACTGTAGTGACCAGATGGTTGTTTCTGGCTAAGAATTGCCTTGATTGAGCTGATAATAATTAGATGACATGAAAGAATCCCAAGACTATTAATTGAGGTGAATTTTAAAATCAAATAATTGAGTCAGATTGTTCGTTTCTACTTTGATTTCATTTTCTAAACATGGGGAATTTGAAACCACTTCAAATGTGAGGATTAATGTGACTTAAATTAAGAAAAAAGTTATTTGGGTCCCGGCGTGGTAACCTAGCAGTTAATGTCCTCGCCTTGCATGCACCGGGATCCCATTTGGGCCCCAGTTCATGTCCCGATGGCCCCGCTTCCCATCCAGCTCCCTGCTTGTGGCCTGGGAAAGCAGTCGAGGATAGCCCAAAGCTTTGGGGCCCTGCACCCGCACAGGAGACCTGGAAGAGGCTCCTGGTTTTCGGATCAGCGCAGCTCCAACCATTGCGATCACTTGGGGAGTGAATGAATGAATGAATTTCCAACAAAATAAATACATCTTTAAAATTTTTATTTGAAAGGGAGAGAAAGAAGGAGAGGGAGACCTTTATGATCCATTGGTTGGGTCACTCCTCAAATGTCAGGCTACCTGTAGGAGTGGGTGGCAGGGATGAAAGTGCTTTAGAATTTTCCACTGGTCTGAAGGTTGGCAGGAGCTGGAAATTGGGATTGGGGGCAGAGCAGGGACTTGAACTCAGGTACTTCAGTATGGGCTGCAGGTATGTTAAGAAGTGTCTCAATTGCTTCCCAAATACCCACCTTGAGCTGCAATTTTGTATTTTGTTTTCTTCAATAGTGTTTTTTTTTTGTTTGTTTAAGAAATAGTATTTATTTAAGAAAATTAAATCGTGCTTGGAATGGTGAGATTGGCAGCAATTCATAACTGTTGAATTATCAAAACCACTTGAGCACGACCCTCGGAACATGCCCCACATCGGGGACCTGGGATGGGAGGGAAACTGGATAGGGCTTCTCCCTTTATCTCCCATCTTACCCCAAATACAGAAAAAAAGAATGTGTGGAAGCAGTAGTCTTACCCACTTTCCTATAGCCATTGAACCTTTGTGCTCTAATTGACTCTGTAAAGATTGTAAAAAACAAACAAACAAACAAACAACAACAAAAAACAAAGAAAGAAAAGGCCAAAGATCTTAACATTATCAAAAAAATTTTCACACTTAATTCAAAGTTTTATTTACTTATTTATTTATTTACTTATTTGAAAGTCAAATACACAGAGAGGAGAGACAAAGATCTTCCGTCCATTGGTTCACTCCCCAAGTGGCCACAAGAGTTGGAGCTGAGCCGATCTGAAGCCAGGAGCCAGGAACTTCTTCCAGGTCTCCCACGTAGGTATAGGGTTCCAAGGCTTTGGGCTGTCCTTGACTGCATTCCCAGGCCACAAGCTGGATGGGAAGTGAGGCTGATGGGACATGAAATGGCATCCAATATGGGATCTCAGCACATGCAAGGCAAGGACTTTTAGCTGCTAGGCTACCGTGCTGGCCCTGCACCTAATTCAGAAAAATGATAAATGTATTTTAAATGTCTGATTCCAAGAAACTGATCTTCTGTTTATTCTTTGAAATTTTGGATTTCTTCTTAGTCTTCTCTTATTTTACTTCTTTAAAGTGTATCTTATGAAGACGTGACAGGGATGAATCAAGGAGAAAATTTTTATTGTTAATTACTAGTGCAATTTGTAAGTGAAGCTGATATTTAATAACCTCATGCCAGGAGTTCTAAAATATTCTAATCTTATTCTAATATTCTAATCTCACCTCCACTTCCTGGAGCCTCTTCTGAACAGGTTCCCAGCCTTGCATCTGTCACCCAGCTTATCTTGTTGGATGCATTCCGAAAGAGAGAGAGAGGAAGAGTTGGTTTACTTCCCAACTTGACTCATATCACTTAACAAATTTGTGTGCATAGAGACGGCACAATAAAAAAGTCAAAAATTTCCTGGAAGCAGATATTAAGATTCTGCAATCATCTTTACACTGTGTTGGGAGTTAATCTGCTTCACTGAGCACAATTCTGACAGTAGAATCTCAGCACAACATGGTCAGCTACATATGAGTTTTGCCTTGCATAAAAGGACTGTGATGGCTACGATGAGTCTTCCACTTACAGAAAGAAATTCATTGGGTTACAGAAGATGTATTCATGAGGTTTGAGAAGCTCTCATTCTAAAAAAGACATGCTGGAGGGCACATTTCATATCCTTGTTGCGCAGGCTATAGATGAAGGGGTTTAAGACTGGCGTCAGCACAGCATATATCAATGTGATGATCTTATGCATAGAAACTGAGTTGCCG